CGCTCCGTTTTGGAGCCCCTGGGGTCCCCTGGGCCTCGTGAGGGGTGCCCTGGAGGCCTCCTGGGCCACCCCGAGGATCCTGGGGGTACCCTGGGCCAGGGGTGCTTCTAACAACACCCGAGCTGTACAGTCGGGGCCCTGAAGAAGGAACCCTTTTCGTTGGGGAGGGCTCCGTGTTGCTTAATTGTTTCGCAGCTTGCCTTGGATTTTCCTTAGGTTTCCGATGCGAAATCGAAGTTCAACTTATGGAGAAATGGGGCCTCGTTCCTTATTTAGGGTTCCGTAGGTCAACGCCTCGAGTGTACCCATCCTTTCCCTACCCAGTCCGGGCATCAGAAACGTCGGCCCGCGGCAGCGCCGCGGAGGGCCGCAGGCGCCGGCCGCCGCCGTCGCCGCAGCGCCCGGGGCGTGCCCTCGGCGCCGGGGCGCGCATCGCCCGCCGCCGCCCCTCGGCGCAGAGGCGCGCGGCCGCGGCGCGCAGCCGTGGCGCGCCACGGCGCGGCCTGCAGGAGCCGCAGGGAGGGCGCGCGGTGCGCGGCGCGGGCGAGCTCGCGGGCCTGCTCGAGACGGGCAGGGAGGCAGGCGGGGAGCCAGGCGGAGAGGCGGGCGGGGAGCCAGGCACAGAGAGAGGCGGAGCGGCAGAGGGGGAGGCGGACGGAGCGGCAGGCAGAGAGGCAGGCAGAGAGGCAGGCAGACGGACTGACAGACAGAGAGAGACAGACAGAGAGAGAGAGAGAGACAGACAGACAGACAGACAGACAGACAGACAGACAGACAGGCAGGCAGACAGGCAGGCAGGCAGGCAGGCAGGCAGGCAGGCAGGCAGGCAGGCAGGCAGGCAGACAGACAGACAGACAGACAGGCAGGCAGACAGGCAGGCAGGCAGACAGACAGACAGACAGACAGACAGACAGACATATAGAACGACAGACAAAAAGAGAGAGAGAGAGAGAGTGAGAGACTTGTCCTCCTCCTCCTGTTTCCTTTTGTCCTCCCCTCTCCCGGCGACGGCGGGGACGGTGTGGACGACTCCGTCGGCCGCCTCCGCGCAGGACCTGCTCCAGGACTCGGATGGCACGAAGTGGCTTGTCACGGAGGGCACCGGTCCGTTCGCGGGCCTCGCCGACCTTGGGGGGGTCTGGGGGGAGAAGCAGGGAGATGGTCAAGTGGTGGCAAAGCGTCCTGGCTCGCCCATAGTTCTACCAAACAGTGTCCTAAGTACTGTTTGTGGTTTCCACGAAATGTTATTCGAACATTCCTGGCGGAGTCTGTCTTGTTTTTATCACATCGGGCTTATGTTCTAAGCGCATTGTTTTTGTTATTTGAACCTGTTTTGGTTCTAAGAACATTTCGTGGTAGGACTATAAGAGTGCCAGGTCGGTCGGTCCCTGCTCAAAGTGGATTCGAGGCAGGAAACAGCAGGAGGAGGGAGGAGGGAGGAGGGAGAGCGAACGATGCAGCAAGCAGGGGGCTGGGCAGGAGGGGATGAAGGCGGAGGCGGGGGGGAGGAGGGGCGGAGGCTGTACATCAGGAGGGATGGGGAGGAGGAAGGACGCGGGAGGAAGGGAAAGGGGAGGGGGAAGAGGAGGGGGAGAGACAGGAGTGACCTAAAAAACTGACGCAACACGCCCGCCCCCCGAGTCCCCGTCCTCGGTGAGCCTTACAGGATGTGCTCGCTGGGGGAAGCGCCCTCTTGAGAGACGAGCGCCCCACGGTCCTGCCGTGCAGGCGGACGTCCCGCTTTGAACAGAGGCTGGGGTCCATGATCGTATCAGTCGGGGCCCTGAAGAAGGAACCCTTTTCGTTGGGGAGGGGCTCCGCGTTCCTTAAGTGTTTCGCAGCTTGCCTCAGGTCTTCCTTATGTTTTCGACGGGAAATCGAAGTTTAACCCATGGAAAAAAGGGGCCTCGTTCTTTATTCAGGGTTCCTTAGGTCAACGCCCCGACTGTATCAGGCGGGGCTGGGACGACGATACACGCTTCTCATATCAGATAAGGGGAAAGGTACCCATACCTCCTCTTCGCCCGTTTTGCCTTTTTCGGGGCTTCTTGGGAGGCACTCGTCGCCATCGCTGGACTCTCCTCGAAATCCTGGTCGGAACGCACCCCGTGAGAGGTCCAGGGAGTAGCGGTATCGGTACCTGTTGGTTTCGCCGTCAGAGCGTTCCGGGACGCTCTCAGAGCGTTCTGGGAAGCTCTGCGCAGGCCGATGCGCCCGAGACACCATCCGGGGCCACGGGATGTCAGATATCCCCGATGTATCGTCACCCTATGTTATCCTCATCTTTGCCTCGTCTTATCGTAGCTACAAGGATGGCGTCGAGGTAGGATCATACAGTCCAGGGAGCGGTCCAGCGAGAGCGCCGCTCTGAAACCGTGGCGCCCTTTGGGCCGTACAGACTGCCTGCAGTTCGAGACTCCTTTCTTCCTCCACCTCCTCCGCCTCATCCTCCTCCTCTGCCTCCTCCTTCTCCCCCTCCTCCCCATCCTCCCCTCCTCCTCCTCCTCCGTTCCTTCTCCTTAGAAATAACTTCTCCCTGTCGCACCACGAGGCCAGGTGTTAGGGCGGGCCGGTCGTTTCGCCTGAGACTTCCCCACCGTCCATGACCCTGAAGCTTGGAAAGCGACAACAGTTTCACACATGGCGTTTCACACAAATGCGGCTCTCGCCTTAGCGCCGGGCACATTCGTTTCTAACATTTGCAAGCATTTCACGGATTGAGGGCGGGTCGTGTTCAAAATGTGGTTGTCGCGTTAGCGCCGCGCACATTCGTTTTCAACAGTTGCAAGTGTTTCACGGATTGAGGGCGGGTCTTGTTCAAAATGTGGATCTCGATTTAGCGCCGCGCACATTCGTTTCCAAACTTTGCAAGGGTTTAACGGATTGAGGGCTGTTCTTTTTTATCACTTGGTTCTCGCCTTCGCGCGACGCACATTCGTCTTCAAATTTTGCAAGAGTTTCACGGACTCGAGGGCGGGTCTTTTTCAAAGTGTGGTTCTCGCCTTAGCGCCGCGCGCAGTCTTTTTCAAGAATTGCAAGAGTTCCACCGGTTCCAATGCACAGCATACCAAAGATGTGTTTTTGGAAGGATTCAGGATTATGGGGGCGCAACAGTTACGTTGATTCGCTGTGTTGACGTTTCAGGAATTGTGTTCTTGTGCGACTCAAGATTGTCATGACGCACCAGCCAGGTTGATCCGTGACGTTGGAATCCCGAGAACATTGTTTTGGCATGCTTCGGGGTCTTCAAACAGCTGCTTTCCAACAGTAGAAATAAACCGTTGCAGGGGCCCATGAAGAACGAGCTTGGAGGGAGGGTGTATGCCAACATCGTTGATCACTCTAGGGTTTCCACTGGTCCTCCTCTCCCTCCTCCTTCCTCCCTCCTCCCTCCTCCGACCCCACCTTGAACCAGAGCCGCCGCCCCTCCCTCCGGTGGAGGTGCTGCACAAGTGCCCTCTCCGACCGCAGAGAAGTAAGGAGGTCCAGCACCCCGCAGGCCCGTGCGCGGTGCAGGGGCGAGCGAGGGCCACGCTTTGAACACGATCTGGGGCCTGCAGGCCATGCACTGGCACTCAGCAGGCCTCAGCCAGGCTGGCGACTTTCACGGTTCTTCTCTATTTGCACCCCGTGACTGTACAAATGTAGCCTTTGATGCACATTCAGGGCATAAAAAGTGTGATTCATTGAGCGGTCCTTCGTCCACCCGCGTAATGGCTGGAAGGGTGTAAGGCGAGCGCAGCGGAGGTGGCGAGGGCGAGGGCCACGGTTTAAGAGAGGAACCGCCCCCTCCTCGTGGAGTGGACGGAAGTTTTCTCGGACGACCTGCGCGCGGCGCTGAAGCGAGACCCAGAGTTGACACGAAACCGCTCCCTCCACTTGTGGAACATCGAAGAAGAATAAGAACACGGCATCAACGTACACGTATGGCGCTCCGCGCGAATTTCTTGGATTGGCGTTGGGGCCCCCTTAGCGGCGCCGAGCCCCTGGCACGCTCCGCGCGACAGGGAAGGGATGTCCAGCGCAGATCCAAGAAACCCGCGCGGAGCACAAACAGTTTATGTGTATGCGTGTTTTCGTTTAGCGCGTCTGAAAACAAGAATTTGCGCGACGGTGAAGCGATACCCACATCTTGAAACGGCCCACGCTCCATCCGCGCATCTGTTTGGGAGAACTTACTCGCGGCACTGAGGCGGGAGCCGCATTCTGAAAATGCCTCCACCTCCACCTGCTGTTGGAGTCGTGTGTGACGAATGCGCCTGGCGGTAAAGCCAGATTTTGAAAGCCACCTGACTTCCATCCGTGCAGCGTTCGGAAACTTGCACGACGAGTTCTCGCGTCGTGAAGGAGAGAGCCACGTGTTGATTCCCCCCGTCCATATGTGTCATTGTGGGAGTGTTTCCACTTCGGGGCCATACGTGGGGAGGAAGTCTCGGGCGAAGCGACCTGCCCGCCATACCGATACGTGTGGGGGCCAGACGAGGAGGACATGCATTCCAATATGGTGAGATGACAGCTGGTGAAGTACGAGGAGGAGAAGGAGGGGGAGGTAATAAGGTCGTCGTCATCGTCCTCAATCCCGTTATTTCTCTTTATCTATTTCTACCTCCCTCTTCTCCTCGCCCTTCTCCACCCAGCCAGCCCATCCACCCGTTCACCTCCGCATCCTCCTTTTGTTCCTCTGCATATCTCTTCTCATCGCCTACCTTCTGTTCCTAGTCTCCCAGCTACGTCCCCCTTCACCACCCCCGTCCCAGGCTTGGAGGATCGGCTCAGCGACGTCAAGGCTCTCTACAAGAAGAAGTTCGGCCTCGATTTAGGCCTCGCCTTTGTTTCAGGTAGGGGCGCGTGTAGTGGATACCCTTGGGACCTTTGAAGAACAACGACTTGGGTCCCGCGATGAGTTCGGGCTCCCCAGATCTCTCCTTCGGCATGTGCCTGGGTGCTCCTCGCACATGGATCCGCAACCAGGGCCAACCTTGGGACTTCAGTTGTTTGGTTGACGGTGCCTCGCACGGCAAGACTTCTACTAGTCATTGTCCCCCGAGGTATTCGACGTTACGTGATGGCCAGTGGTGTTCGTATTGGCAGCTGGGTTCGTTTTGGCCCACGGCCTCCAGACCATATTGACGGCGTGTTCTTGGGCGCCTTTGACGAGGCCGGAAACGACCAGGGATATATGGGGAGAGGGGGGGCGCGGGGTAGGAGACAGGGGGGGTGGACATTGAAGGGGGGAAGAGGCAGTTGGCAAGTGAGGACTAGAAGGGGGTGGAACACAAAGGGATCTGGGAATAGGTTGGAAGAGCAGGAGGAGCAGTACCATCAATGTTGGAGTAGAAGTTCTGAGGTAGGATGGGAATGCACAAATAGGGAAGCCGAACAGGTACACCAGAAGTGCCTCTTCCCCACTCGTCCTCCTTGGTCGCGAGAAACATTATCGTGCGTGTCAGTCACACCGGAGGAGCTGTCGCCCAGCTCGGAGAAACCCTCTGGCAGGTCAAGGATATGCAAGTAGCCGCCCAGGAAGACGACCGAAAACATCATGTTGACAAAGTGCGGGTGGCCGAGCAACTCCCTTCCTTCCAAAAGTTTCAAGTCCGCCGTGAGCGGACTTCAAGTTCATAAGTGGGGAGTGAGCGGAGCCCACGGAATGAGGATAAGGTTTTCGAGCGGAGCCCACGGAATTCGGAGTAGGTTTTCGCGCGGAACCCCTGGAGTTGGGATAAGGTTTCTGTAAGGGGGCAGTGAGTTAGGAGAAGGTTTTCGTAGGGGTCCAGGGGTTAGGGCAAGGTTGTCGCATGGAGCCCAAGGAACTCGGATACGGTTTTCGCTCGGAGCCCATGGAGTGTGGATACGGTTCTCGTAGTGGAGCCGGTGAGTTAGGATAAGGTTTTCGCAGCGGGCATTGGGCGTTAGGATCAGGTTTTCGCGCAGGGCCCTGGGAATTCGGACTAAGTTTTCGCGCGGAGCCCAAGGAGTTTGAACAAGGTTTTCGTAGGTGGCCAGTGAGGTAGGATATGGTTCCCGCAGCGAGCCCTGGGCGTTAGGATAAGGCTTTCGCGCGGAGCTCCTGGGGTTTGGGTATGGAATTCGTATGGGGGGCAGTGAGCTAGATTAAGGTTTCCGTATCGGGACCAGGGCGTTTGGATACGGTTTTCGCGCTGGGCCCAAGGAATTCTGAGTAGGTTTTCGCGCCAAGCCCGTGGAGTTTGGATAAGGTGTTCGTAGGCAGGCCAGTTAGTGAGGAGGCGTTTTTCTTACGGGAGCCTGGGGAATTAAGATATACCTTTCGCGCCTGGAATTCGGATTGCGGCTTCGCGCGGATCCCGTGGAGTGTGGATCTGGTTTCCGCAGGGGGGGGGAGATGACTTAGGCGAAGGTTTTCGTAGGGGGCCCCAGTAGTTAGGATAAGGCTTTCGCACGGAGCCTAAGGAATTTGGATAAGGTTTTCGCGCGGAGCCCCTGGAGATAGGATCTGGTTTTAGTAGGGGCCAGTGAGTTAGGATCAGATTTTCGTAGGGAGCCCTGGGAGTTAGGATACAGTTTTCGCGCGGAGCCCTGGAATTCGGATTAAGTTGTTTCGCAGACCCTTCGGAATTTGGGTATACTTTTCGTCGGGGGCCTGTAAGTTGGGATACGATTCTCGTATGGGGATCCCGGGAATTAGACTGAGCCCGAGGAATTCGGATCAGGTCTTCGCGCGGAGCCCGAGGAGGTGTGGATCTGGTTTTCGTATAGGCTCCGCGCGAAAACCTAATCCGCATTCCTTGGGCTCCGTCCGAAAACCTTATCCTGACTCCCGTGCCTGCCTTCGAAAACCTAATCCTAACCCACTGGCCCCCCTACGAAAACCATAGCCGAACTCCATGGGCTCCGCGCGAAAACTTAATCATCCTTGGGCTCCGCGCGAGAGCCTTATCCTAATTCCCGGCCCCCCCCCCCCCCCCCCCCCCCCCCCCCGCCCCCCCTTATTATAAACGCCTTATTCTAACTCACAGCCCCCTAATGGAAAGCATATCCGAACTCCACGGGTTCCGCGCGAAAACCTACTCTGAATTCCTTGGTCTCCGCCCGAATTCCTGGGTCCCCTTCCGAAAACCTTATCCTAGCTCGCTGGCCGCCCTACGAAAACCATATCCGAACTCCATGGGCTCCGCCCGAAAACCTTATCCCAACTCCCGTGCCCGACTTCGAACACCTTATCCTACCTCACTGGGCCCAATACGATAACGCGTATCCCAACTCCATGGGCTCCGCGCGAAATCCAAATCGGAATTCGTTGGGATCCGCCCGAAAACCTCATCCTAACTCCCGGCCCCCCCGACGAAAACCTTATCGTAGCTTATTCCCCCTTTCGAACCTCATTCGAATTCCTTGGGCTTCGCGCAAAAACCTTATCATAATTCTTGGGCCCCCCTGCGAAAACCTTATCCTAACTCACTGGCCCCCATGCGAATACCATATCCGAACTCCCTGGGCGCCGCTCGAAAACCTAATCCGAATTTCTTAGGCCCTGCGCGAAGATATCATCGGAATTCTTGGGGCCCTCTACCAAAACCTTTTCCTAACCAACTGGGCGCCCTCCGAAAACCATATCCAGACCCCTGGGGCTCCGCGCGAACCCTACTCCGAATTTGTTGGTCTCCACTCGAAAGCTTTCTCTTGATTTTACGAAAACCTTATCAGAAATCGCTGGGCTCCTTACGAAAAACATTCCCAACTTCGAGGGCCGGCGTTCCTCCCTCATCGTCCTCTGTCCCCACGTCCCTCTCACTCCTCATCCTCTGCATGCCTTGCGGGCCTCGGACTCTCCCATCGCCCCCCGCCCTTGTCTTGTCCCCCAAGGGGAAGCGCGAAAGGCTCGAAGTTATCCGCGCTTCGCGAGCCCCTCGTTTCGTCCCAGGGGGGCGCAAAAGCGCGAAGTTATTCGCGCTTCGCGCAGCGCGAAACGCGAAGCTAGGAGCCCTTACATAGGGGGTTCCACCGAAGTCCCCAGCGGCAGGGTCCACATGGCGGCGCCGCCCCATTTTGGCGCACCCTTCACACGGTTCGCGGCCCCATTGGGAGTTCCACCGAAGGCCTAAGTTGCAGGTTCCACACGGCGGTGCCGCCTCATTTTGGCGCACCCCTCACACGGCTCGTGTCCCCACAGGGAGCTCCACCGAAGGCCCCAGCGGCAGGGTCCACATGGGAGCCCGTTTCTTTTTTGCTTGGGGCATGACAGGCGTCATGGCCCCTGTTCCCCCCCCCTATCCTGTAACGCTCCCCCCCCAGTGCGCTCTGGGCACTGCCGCCGTGCGCATTGGGATCCGCGTGGGTGTCCGCGAATGAATCCGCATAGGAGTCTGGTCCGCAGTCGAAATCGTCGTCGTCGTCCTCGCTCATGGCTCGTGGCTCGTTGCTCGTCGCTTGTCGCTTATCGTCGTCGTGCGCGCGGACGCGGCTGGAGCCTGTTTATTTGTCCCAGGCCGATGACCGCAATCATCTGGGGGGGTGGAGGGGGTCGATGACGTCACGCTTTGCGCCGGCGGCGCCTGGGAATGCGGAGGAATCACGGAGGACGGGTGGCACCAGCATGTAGGTGGCGATCTGCACCACAATGCCTATGTACACTTCAGTGCCTGAGTGCACCACAGCGCCTGTGTACACCACAGCGCCTATGTACACCACAGCAACCGCGCGCAACACAACGTCAGTTCGTGCCACCGCGCGCGAGGGCACAACAGCTCTTGTGGACACCACAGCGTTTGCGCACACCACATCAGCCGTGTGCAACATCATCAGTGTCCACCATTATGCCTGCGTTCGTGGCAGTGCCTGTGTGCACCTCGGCGCTTGTGTGCACCACAGCAACCGTGTGCAACACAGCACCACTGTTGTATGTAGCACGTTAGAAAAATCGTTATGACAAAATGAAGCGCGCGTGGATTCTATTGAAAATAATAGAACGTAATCCTTATGGACAGGAGCGCCATGGGAATCTGCGAGTCTTTCCGAGTTCGCCCGCATCACCGTAATTCCTCCCATCTGCGTCCAGGAGGCTCCAGCTAAATTGGCCGTCCGAGAACCAAGTGGGCCGATTCAATAGACCATTCTGCGGTGCACGGTGAGATGCGCACGTGCGCTGCAGCGCCAACCCGCACGACAGGGGGTAAGGAGGAGGAGGAGGAGGAAGAGGAGGGGGAGGAAGAGGCGGAAGTGGAGGAGCAGGGAGGAGGGAAAAACGTCGCATTCGATTATCCGCACTATCCTGGCGTGGCGCTTCCGCAGCGGATCCTCAGGTAAAGGCTCTTTATTCCTGTCCTATGCACGCACGCACTGTGGTGTACAACAGCGCTGCGTTGCACGCGGATGCTGTGGTGTAGACAAGCGATGTGGCGTGCACAGACGCCGCGGTGCAAGCACGCAGTGTGGTGTACACAGGCGCAGTGTTGCACATGGTTGCTGCGGTGTGTACATGTACACCGGCGCTGTAGTGTACGAAAGCACTGCGGTGTACACAGGCGCTGCGTTGCACACGGTTGTTGCGATGTACGCAGGAGCTGTGGTTTACACGCGCGTTGTGGTGCATGCGAGCGCTGTGGTGTACACAGGCGAATTGGGGCAGATCGTCACCTACATGCTGCTCGCGTCGTCGTCGTCGTCGTCGCTTGTCGCTGGTCGCGTCGTGCGCGCGGGCGCGGCTGTGGTCCCGGAGCCACACGGCGGGGGGGGGGCGTTACGTCATACCCCCCCCCGCCCCCCCCATGATGCCCGTCATCGCCGAATATAAAGAAACACGCTTTGGCATGCCACCCCAATTTGGCGCACCCACCACACGGTTCGCGACACCCTCCTGTTTCGTCCCCGCAATCATTTTATTTTGTTGCGGGGGGGCCTTTTTTGGAAGACGAGGATCGCTTGAGGCCAGCAATTATCGCGGAAGTTTCGCTTTGAACAAAAAGTTTTGATAGATTAGGGATTTGGCCATGTGGGGTCGTACATCCATAGCGCGTGCCAATCGACAACCCTATTTTGCAAAGGAACCGCCCCCATATCTGTGCAACCGTTGCGCAGCATTAGACATCTGGTCCATGGTATACCATTGTATCCAGAACGAGAGCCCCGGCTTGAAAAGGAAACGTCTTCCGTTCGTGTAATCGTTGCTCTGCATTTTTAGGTGTACGGTGTGCGCATCAATTTGGCATCTCCAGCGAGAGTTGCCCTCCACCCGTGTACTTGTCGAGTGTTGTAATACGTGCGTGCGCGGCACGAGGCGGGAGCTTCAGTTTAAGGGCCACGTGACCTCGCGATGTGTATATGTTCGATCATGTTGTGTTAGTGCGCGTGCGCGGCGCAAAGGTGACACCCCAAGTCTTAGATCCATTCGCCCCCCAGTGCATGTGTCCAAGATGAGTTTAAACGGCGTGCTGGCGAGAACCCAGTGTTGAAAACAATTCACCCTCTATCCGTATAGCTGTTGAGGGTTGTTTGGGCTGAGTGTGCGCGGCGCTTTCGCGATAGCCCCATTCTCAAATCGGACGCCCTCCAGCCACGTAAGCGTGGTGAGTTTCAAGTTTCACGAGCGCAAGCGGTGAGGGTGTCTCAGGCGCAATGCCTGGCCGCCTGGCCCGCTCTACCAACACGCTTGGTAGTGTAATCACGAGGATCTATCTAGAAGGAAGCGGGATGGAGGACATCGCGTGGGTTGGAGTTTCGTGCCAAGCATGAGGGAGGAAGGAGAGTGAAGATTCAGAAGGACGCAGGAGGAGGGAGAAGTGGAAAGAGGGATGCGTGATGAAGCGGAGTAGAAGGAGAAGTGGGGATGATGATCATGACATGTCAGGGGAGGGTGAGGGGAATGATGATGATGTTGATGATGATGATGATGCTGGTGATGATGATGATGATGATGATGATGATGATGATGCTGCTGATGATGATGATGATGTTGCTGTTGCTGATGATGATGATGATTATGATGATTATGATGATTATGATGATGATGATGATGATGATGATGATGATGATGATGATGATGATGATGATGATGATGATGATGATGATGATGATGATGATGATGATGATGATGTGATGATGATGATGATGATGATGATGATGATGATGATGATGATGATGATGATGATGATGATGATGATCCACGCATCCAAGAAGGTCTGGAGCTCCCCGCTCGATACAGCCTCCCGAAGCCATGGCCTTTCCCTATGGCGCTGCGGACGCAAGGCCTGACCCGTGCCCAAGGCACACTCGCAGACTCGCCTGAAAGCCTTGAGGCCGCCGACCGCCCCAGCCAAAGGCAGGCGGTCAGCAAACATCCGAGCCCTCACGGCGACTCAGCACGCAGACAGCTCGGCGCGCCACACCATAGCAAAGTCCCCTAGGCACCAGGCCACAGACGGGAACGACTTGCTCTGAGGTGACCTTCGGAGGCGATCTTGACGGTCGGCCACAGCCTACCACCACGGTTCGGCCTCCGCCTGGCGCGGCACAGAGCACAGAGCGGGCTGGAGCGCAGCAGGCTGCGCGGGCTGTCGCGCCCAAGGGGCGCCAGCTGCTACATTAAACGGAGGCGCCGAAGGCGCCGAGCGACAGACGCTGCCCAAGAGGGGCGGGAGGGAGTGAACCCTGGCGTGTGCCGAGCCCCACGGGGTACAGCCTACGCCACGGGGTCCCTCCCCCCCAGAGGCAGCAGCTCGGCGCAGGCATTCGTGATCCTTGGACCCGCCTGCGACACGAGCAGATCTTGATGAAAAGCGGCAGCAACTGGCAAGCCAATTGCCTCATCGGGCATCTGAGCGTCTAAGGCCTGGGGCGCCTCGAGTGGGACCCCGAGGAAGAAGCTGGCCGCTGCGAGGGCCAGCCGCGAGGCGGCCGCCGCCTCCAGAAGCTCGCCTGCAGACAAGAAGCCTGTGTCGATGCCATCGCCGCTGTAGGGAACGCCGCCGTTCCATCCTCCTCCATATCAGCCCGAGCAATACGTGTAAGGATGGGAAACGTTCCCAAGCCCCCAGGGCTCCGAAAGCGCCCCCTGGGGTCGGCGCAGGCGGCCTCGGCCGCCGAGGCAGCCGCTGAGGCCTCGCCCATCACGTCCTCCTCGACGTCGCCGATGAAGAACTCCACGAGCGGCACCTCGCCGAGCGCCTCCGTGGGCCCGCCTGCAGTGGGGCCCCCCGTGGGTATGTCCTCTCCGACGTCTGCGAGCGCCTCCGCGACGATGTCATTGCCGCGCCCTGCGGCGCCCACCGTCACGTCCAGCACGTCGTCGGCTTGCCCTACCTGCACGACGCCGTGGGCGTCTGCAGCAGCGGCCGCCGCGTCCAGGAACTTCACGTGCGACACCTCGCCGAACTCCTCCTTGAGCCCGCCTGCGGTGGGGCCCACCGTGGGTCCGTCCTCGTCGACGTCATCGAGCGCCTCCGCGACGATGCCATTGCCGCCCTCTGCAGCGCCAACCGCCGCGTCCTGCGTGTCCTCGGCGTGTGCGAAGCCGACGGGGCCCGAGCAGGCGACCTCGCCGCCGACCGACTCGTCCGCCTTCGGCGCCACGACGTCGTCGTAACCGAACTTCCACCACCTCGCTCCCGAGGCAAGCGGAGCCGCCACATGTGCACCTGCGCAGCGGACCCGCTCTCCGAGCGGGAAGCATGCGCCTGCGGACAAGCTCCGCCCGCGCCTGCGAGCGATGGCCCACTCCTGCGGGGCCGCGTCACAAGCCGCCCGCGCAGCGGGCTGGCGGCGGTGAGGCGTCACCGTAGGCCGCACGAGCCTCCGCGCCCGATCCCGCGCACCGCCGATCGCCGTAGATCCGCCCGACCGCTGCAGGCGGCTCAGCGACGGCAGCTGCATGCGGGCGATGCTGGCGCCGCGCCTGCTAGCGCAGTGGAGTCCAGCGTTACGCCTGGACCTCTCCACCCGCTGCGCAGGCCCACGCCCCCGCTGCCGGCCAGAGGTCGCGGCCGCACCGGCCGCAGTAGCCACAGCGCCGCCTCCGCCAGCTGCTCCGCGAGCAGCGTCTGCGAGCACCTCCTCGACGATGGGCACGGCCAGCGCCACGCGCGTGACCAGCTCGTCGCGAAGGGTATCGGCAGCCGCACGCACGCCTGCCTGGTCGTCGGCAAGGAGAACAGCCTGAGCAGCTGCCGCCTTGTGCCGCTCGCTCACGGCCTCGAGCTGCACCTCCAGCAACTGCACCGTGCCCTCCAGCTCCGCGATGCGGCTGAGGGCGGCTGCGAGCTTGCCGAGCTCCACGGCCCTCGCCGCCGCCCGCCGCGCCCGCCGCGCTGGCCACAGGGACCCCCCTGCGGCAGCGGCGTCAGGCTGCTCTGCCGCCTTGAAGGCGGCCGTGCAGCCGACCGCAACCATCTGCGCCCAATGGCGCCGCCCCGAACGCGCCGAGCCCGCCCGCGCGCCCGAGGAGCACCTCGTGAGCCAAAATGGCTACGGATGATGATGATGATGATGATGATGATGATGATGATGATGATGATGATGATGATGATGATGATGATGATGATGATGATGATGATGATGATGATGATGATGATGATGATGATGATGATGATGATGATGATGATGATGATGATGATGATGATGATGATGATGATGATGATGATGATGATGATGATGATGATGATGATGATGATGATGATGATCATGGTGATCTCAAGGCCGGTGGCGCGACCAGTGGCGCGAGTCCGCGAGTCTGGCGCGCGTCTCGTTTCGCGCGGCGCGAAGGGTGATGCCAGCTGGGCGACGGTAAAGAAGCTGGTCGACTGCGCAGGCATTCGCGCGTAAGCACCCCCTTCTCAGCGGTGTGTGTACGTGTGTTTGCCGCGAACGCGACCTGCGGTAGCCACTGGGCAAGGCCGCCATGTCCTCATGCGGGAGGCACATTTTCCGCCGCCCAGGCGACCTTGAGAAAGAGGCGGCCACCAGATTCAGAGGAGGAGGAGGACGAAAGCCTGCTCGAGGACGCGGACGGCACCAGGTGGAGGTTGACCCAGGGCCGCGGCTTCTTGACGGGGCTGGAGGACAGGCTGCAGGACTTGAAGGCCATGTACAAGCGCAAGTACGGTCTCGGGGGCCGCCGTCGACCTCGTTGCCGCCGCTGTCGGCATCGGGGCCGCCGTCGCCGCAGCCGTCGCGGTCGCCGCCATCGTCGCCGTCGCCGTCGTTGGCTCCCGTTGGGTTCCATCTCGTCGCCCTCTTGCCAGCCTTCCAGGCCCCCCCCCCACAGGGCACGCTGACCCGGCCCATTGGTTTTTGTCGACTTGTTTCGCCTTCTCACGTTTTGTGGTTTCAACGCTTCCAACGCTCCAAGGACCGAAAATTTAACAAATGTGCGCCCCCTCATCCCGGGGGTCCCACACCTTCCCGGAACATCTCGTGTACGCTCCCAATACCGCGCTTCCCGGCCTCCCAGGGAGCCCCCACAATGCCCAAAGACAGTCCAAGGCGATCCTAAGACCCTAAGAAGCCCCCACAACGTAACAGAATTGCCCAAGACGCTCCCAAGCAACCCAGGATAGCTCTCGGGCGGTTCTCCAGGCTCCCAGGAGGCCTCCAAGAGACCTCAAGAGAGCTCCGAGAGTCCTCCCGAGAGCGCCCAGAGAACCCAGAATCGTGAATTTTCTCAGTTGTTTTGAAGGGTTTTTGCTTTCACACCATTTCATGCTTCCAACGCTCCAAGACGGTCGAAGAGGCCCCCAAGACGGGCCAAGAGCGCCGAAGAGGCCCCCAAGACGGCCCCAAGACGGGCCAAGACGGTCCAAAGACTGCCGAAGAGGCGCCCCAGACAGCTCCAGACCACCCAAGAACAGGCCCCAGATGAGCCGAAGAGCGGGAGCAGGAGGCCGCCAGAGACCTCTGAGAGGACTCCGGGACCCCCAAGAGGCCTCCAACACACCCAGACTTTTGAGAGGCTTCCAAAAATCCCTCCCCGACGAGGGCCCCCAAAACAGCCCAAGAGAGCTTCGAGAGCCGTCCCGAGACCCGAAGAAAGTAACATCGTTGACGCTTTTCACTTTCTCACGTTTTCCCGCTTCCAACGCTCCAAGACCGAGGAATGTGAAGAAAAAGAATTCCATATATTATTTGTTTTGTTTCAAGTTGGGAAGTTGGGACTCCTACCCCCTATCCTCTTCCTCGAGCCCCATCAAGACTTCGGGGTCACATGCAAAAATGTTTCGGGAATGCTGTTGAACTCTCTGACGCCGTCTTCGCACTCTCTTGGATCGTCTTCGTGTCCTCTTGGCTACCCCCGACACCATTGTAAAAATCGAGATCCCCTGATCCCATGAGCTGAAGCAGTGGGATTTTCGAATTCCTTGTTTTCAAACTCACCCCCTGCTTTTTTTGCCCGCGGACCCCGAGAGGCATTCCAGCAGACCGTGGCCCGCATGCAGAAAACGTCTAACCCACAGCCCAGGCACTACAATTTGAAAAAAGGAAATCCCACCATTCCGTTTTTGATCCACATTCGCACATTGTCTATTCTTGCACAACAGACCACAAGTGTGGCCCCAGAGAGAAAAACAGGAAGCATTCGAGGACCCCAGATCGTTGAATACCGAGCTGCAATTTATGATTCTTGCGTTTCCGCTGTTCCCATTCTATACGATTCCGGGGCTTGCGCAGGGCATCCAAGAGAGTCCCTAGATGGAAGAAACGACAAGGATGATATTCCATGTGTTCGCCCATCAAGCCTCGCTAGAATTTGAGCTCGCGCGAAGCGCGCGCGATGGTTCTGATACTTTTCTTTTTAATATATATATATATATATATATACACATAGACATATACACATGGATTGGTGAATAGCGCCCACTAGCGTTCAAAATCGCCAAAAAGCGTTGACTTGTGAGTGATAGCGCCAAGTAGTACCCAACTAGCGCCGACTAGCGTCGAATAGCGCCATGTGTGGGAGTGGCATTGCGCCCGCGTTGCCCGCTATTAGACACGCTATAGGGCGCCATGGGGACGACCAAAAGCTTATGTGAATTGCTATCTCTAGTTTCCCAGCCCTTAGCCAGACCTTTGGCCGATCTTGGGTTGAGCCGATGGGCGGTCTGGCATCGATCCGCCACGTTGCAGCATCAGGCGGAGCGGCCGAGGCGTTCTGCCGATTACAGATTGGGGAGGCAGGCATGGGGACGGGGCGGAGAGCGGCGCATGCCGACTCCTCGATTTGATTCGATTTCGATGGATCCCAGTTCCGATTCGATTCGATTCGACTGTTCTTGGGCATCGTGCCAATGTTTTCCCTACCCGTGCCAGGTTTGGACGTAGATGAGAATGAGGAGGACGAGGACCTGTTCGAGGACGCGGACGGCACCAAGTGGCAGGTTTCCGAGGGCCGCGGCCATTTCACAGGATTGGAGGACAAGCTGGAGGGCCTGAAGGCCCTGTACAAGCGCAAGTTCGGCTTGGACCTGGACGAGGAGGACGGCGAGGGCCTCTTCGAGGACGCGGACGGTACGATGTGGCAGGTCACGGAGGGTCGCGGCATACTCTCAGGCTTGGAGGACAAGCTGCAGGACCTGAAGGGCCTGTACAAGCGCAAGTTCGGCCTGGACCTGGACGAGGAAGAGGACGAGGACCTCTTCGAGGACGCAGACGGCACCAAGTGGCAGGTGTCTGGGGGCCGCGGCCATTTCACAGGCTTGGAGGACAAGCTGGAGGGCCTCAAGGCCCTGTACAAGCGTAAGTTTGGCCTGGACCTGGACGAGGAGGAGGACGAGTACCTGTTCGAGGACGCGGACGGCACGAAGTGGCAGGTCACGGAGGGCCGCGGCAAATTGACAGGCTTGGAGGACAAGCTGCAGGACCTGAAGGGCCTGTACAAACGCAAGTTCGGCATGGACCTGGACGAGGAGGAGGGCGAGGGCCTCTTCGAGGACGCGGACGGCACGAGGTGGCAGGTGTCGGAGGGTTGCGGCCTCCTGACGGTGCTGGAGGACAAGCTGGAGGGCCTCAAGGCCCTGTACAAGCGCAAGTTCGGCTTGGACCTGGACGAGGAGGACGGCGAGGGCCTCTTCGAGGACGCGGACGGTACGATGTGGCAGGTCACGGAGGGTCGCGGCATACTCTCAGGCTTGGAGGACAAGCTGCAGGACCTGAAGGGCCTGTACAAGCGCAAGTTCGGCCTGGACCTGGACGAGGAAGAGGACGAGGGCCTGTTCGAGGACGCAGACGGCACCAAGTGGCAGGTGTCCAAGGGCCGCGGTCATTTCACAGGCTTGGAGGACAAGCTGGAGGGCCTGAAGGCCCTGTACAAGCGTAAGTTCGGCCTGGACCTGGACGAGGAGGAGGACGAGTACCTGTTCGAGGACGCGGACGGCACCAAGTGGCAGGTCACGGAGGGCCGCGGCAAGTTGACAGGCTTGGAGGACAAGTTGCAGGACCTGAAGGGCCTGTACAAGCGCAGGTTCGGCTTGGACCTGGACGAGGAGGAGGAGGGCGAGGGCCTCTTCGAGGACGCCGACGGCACGAAGTGGCAGGTCACGGAGGGCCGCGGCAAGCTGACAGGCTTGGAGGACAAGCTGCAGGACCTGAAGGGCCTGTACAAGCGCAAGTTCGGCTTGGACCTGGACGAGGAGGAGGACGACGAGGGCCTGTTCGAGGACGCCGACGGCACCAAGTGGCAGGTGTCGGAGGGCCGCGGTTGTTTCACAGGTTTGGAGGACAAGCTGCAGGACCTGAAGGCCCTGTACAAGCGTAAGTTTGGCCTGGACCTGGACGAGGAGGAGGACGAGGGCCTCTTCGAGGACGCGGACGGCACCAAGTGGCAGGTCACGGAGAGCCGCGGCAAACTGACAGGCTTTGAGGACAAGTTGCAGGACCTGAAGGGCCTGTATAAGCGCAAGTTCGGCTTGGACTTGGACGAGGAGGGGGTCTAGGGGGCCACACGCGCACCCTACCTTTACCCCCCACGATTTCTGAGGGGACGGGTTGGGTTCACTTCGCTCGGGCGCTTCCGAACGAAGTGAACCCCACCCTCCCCCTCGGAAGTCGTGGGGGCAGGGGTATGGTGCGCATGTGGCCCCCTGAGGGCGACGAGGGCCTGTTCGAGGACGCCGACGGCACCAAGTGGCAGGTGTCGGAGGGCCGCGGTCACTTCACAGGCTTGGAGGACGAGCTGGAGAGCCTAAAGGCCCTGTACAAGCGTAAGTTCGGCCTGGACCTGGACGAGGAGGAGGGCGAGGGCCTGTTCGAGGACGCGGATGGCACGAAGTGGCAGGTCACGGAGGGCCGCGGCAAGCTGACAGGCTTGGAGGACAAGCTGCAGGACCTGAAGGCCCTGTACACGCGCAGGTTCGGCTTGGACCTGGACGAGGAGGAGGACGAACACATGTTCGAGGACGCCGAGGGCATCAAGTGGCACGTGACGGAGGGACGCGGTGTGCTGACCGGTTTGGAGGACAAGCTGCAGGACCTGAAGGGCCTGTACAAGCGCAAGTTCGGCCTGGACCTGGACGAGGAAGAGGACGAGGGCCTCTTCGAGGACGCCGACGGCACCAAGTGGCAGGTGTCCGAGGGCCGCGGTCATTTCACAGGCTTGGAGGACAAGCTGCAGGACCTGAAGGCCCTGTACAAGCGTAAGTTCGGCCTGGACCTGGACGAGGAGGAGGACGAGTACCTGTTCGAGGACGCGGACGGCACCAAGTGGCAGGTCACGGAGGGCCGCGGCAAGTTGACAGGCTTGGAGGACAAGCTGCAGGACCTGAAGGACCTGTACAATCGCAGGTTTGGCTTGGACCTGGACGAGGAGGAGGAGGGCGAGGGCCTCTTCGAGGACGCCGACGGCACGAAGTGGCAGGTCACGGAGGGCCGCGGCAAGCTTACAGGCTTGGAGGACAAGCTGCAGGACCTGAAGGGCCTGTACAAACGCAAGTTCGGCTTGGACCTGGACGAGGATGAGGACGACGAGGGCCTGTTCGAGGACGCGGACGGCACGAAGTGGAAGTTGTCCGAGGGCCGCGGCTTGCTAACAGGGCTGGAGGACAAGCTGGCGAATGTGAAAGCCATGTACAAGCGCAAATTCGGCGTGGACCTGGACGAGGATGAGGACGACGAGGGCCTGTTCGAGGACGCGGACGGCACGAAGTGGAAGTTGTCCGAGGGCCGCGGCTTGCTGACAGGCCTGGAGGACAAGCTGCAGGACCTGAAAGCACTGTACAAGCGTAAATTCGGCTTGGACCTGGACGAGGAGGAGGACGAGGGCCTCTTTGAGGACGCCGACGGCACCAAGTGGCAGGTAACAGAGGGACGCGGCCCGCTCGTGGCGTTGGAGCAGAGGTTGGAGGACCTGAAGGCCCTGTACAAGCGCAAGTATGGTCTCGGGGCCCCCACGTTTTATTTGTACTGCCCGCTCTTCTTTCCATGATTTTCTCGGTCCCAATTCCTCCTGGTGTGATAGGACAGCGAGGTGGGGGCTTCGATGGGGGGGGGTGACAACCCATCCCGATATTCTAACTGGCGCTTCCTGAGCTGTCCTGCCCTGGTTGATTCCTCCGCCGGTTGCGCTTACAACAGGGACTCGGCATGAGTGGTGCTCATTGCGAGGGTCACTCTCCCATCAAGACTGGGCTATGGGAAGGGAAACAGAGGAAAGGACAGCAAAGGGGGATGGGGGAGGCGTCTCTTTCCCGAAGGTCTGGACATGGACGAGGAGGACTGCGCCGACGGCCCCCTGGTGGAGGACCAAGACGGCACGAGGTGGGTGGTGACAGAGGGCCGTGGCGCCTTCGCCGGCCTGGAGGACCGCCTCGACGACCTGAAGGCCGGTATCGTGCCAGCCTTTCCGTTATCCGATGGTCTGGGGGATCCACTTATTCTGCATCTTTTGGGGACCTTGTTTGTCCTGAGGTTGGTGATGCTTTCTGGGTAATCCGACTTGGGTTCGTCGCGGATTCGACGTGAATCCGGGGTGGAGTTGACACGAATTTGACATGGATCCGATACGGATGCGTCATCAGATTTGACGCGCCCGACACCGATTCCACGCGGATTGCAGCGCGACGGGACAGACAAGGTCCTCAGATGCAACACGTAATCTACATTTGGAACAATCGAAATGGGCATGGGACAAATGGGGACGAAAATTGTGGCAGTTCTTGTCCATTTCAACATGGCTATTTGACGGTGTCGCCGTTGACGTGGTCAATTTGAGAAAACAAGTCGCCAGCCCAACATGAAGCAGTGGCGAAGCGTCCTTGCTCGCCTACAGCCCCACCAAACAATGTTCTAAGAACCGCTTCTGGTTCCCACGAAATGTTCTCAGAACATTTCTGGTTGGGATCGTCTTGGTTCAACACATCGGGTTCTTTGAACATTTGGGGTTCTGAAAACATGTCGTGGTAGCACTGCAGGGATGCCGGGACGGTCGGTCCCTGTCGGACAGCATTCGGTGTCTGTCGTTGTGCGCGTTCCCGCCGTGCCCGCCCCGGGCGAGCCGGGACGTCACGGCCAAGTTTTGGCGGCGCCCACGAGGGGGTTTGGCGCCCACGAGGGCGGAAGGCGGAAGGGGCTTCTGACAAGCTGGGTGCGCTCGCGTCATATCTGACGTCCTACCCCTCCCTCCCCATCTCTTACCATGACGTAGATCGCCTCTATATTCACACCGTCGGACGTCGCAGCAGGGCATAGCATTACATGGCCTAGCATGGTGTTGAAGATCAACGCGTAGCCTGACGCCCCAAAGTGGGGGGGGGCTCCTGCGGCCCAAAACATCGACGAGTCGGAATCGGCACCGAATGTGGAATCACTTCCGGTGGTTGCTTCCGGGGGCTATTTTCTGGTTTTGGGGGGTCCTGTTTGGAAGGACCGAGAACCATGCCGTGGCATGGCGCTGGAAATAATGACGCCAGCGCTGCAGCGGGAGCACAATTCGGAACGAGCGGAGGCGTGGAAACAAGGCCAGCGCTGCAGCGGGAGCACGATTCGGAATGAGCGGAAGCGCGGAAATGAAGCCAGCGCTGCAGCGGGAGCACGATTCGGAACGAGCGGAAGCCCGAACACGAGTCCAGCGCCTCAGCGAGAGCAGCATATTGAACACAAACACAAGGGAAAACCCAACTCGCCGACATCCTATGTGGAAAAAATACGCGAGGGGGTGCCGAACACTCCGAGACATATTCCACAACAGACTCAGGGGAGAGCAGAGTAGTATTCATATCGAGTGCCTTCTTAGACGAGCTGGGTGTTTCTGGGAACGCTCATCATAAGCCGAGTGGGCATATAAGAAGCCCGTCTGCCTTGCAAGAGCCCCCTTGCCTGTTTAGGAGCCCTCACCCGTCGCGCCGCCCACTCGCGGGCGCCGCCGAAAGATGTCGCGGGCTCTGTTCGACAGCGATCCTGGCCATGGTCCATGTCGGCCGTCGCCGATTTCGCGAGGACGATGCACGAATGGGCGACTGCCAGACGTACTGTGGCCATGATCAGCACCGACGGTTCCGTGCTCAGCTTTGGCCATTGCCATCGTTTCTTTTGCTTCTTCTTGGCCTCCGGGCGGCGCGATGCACACCAAAAACTACGGGCGCATTTTTCTTCGCGGCCTCTGCTCTGGTGCGTCCGTTTGAGCCTTTCCCCCCCCCCCCCCCCTCAAGGGGCCACCACCTAGAGCAACCCGTGGCAAGGAAGCGGTCACGGGGGCGGGGTCGACAGCTCGGGGGAGGGGAGGGGGGGCAAGTTGTGTAAAGACCACGGCGGCGGTGGGTTCGGCTTTCTGTCCCTAGCGATGCAACCTCTGGAGGTCGAACTCAGCATCGGCGCTGGCGTCTCCGTCATCGAAAACTTGGATCATCGGGCGCAGACCTGTTGTATGACGCTTCGTACGGCTTGATCGTAGGTTCTTACGGGGACCTCACAGAAATCGTGTCCTAGCATATTCTGGATGGGACAATCATCTTTCCCCGCTTGGATCCACGGTGGGATTAGGTACGTGCTGTCGGATCGGGTGGAGGAGTTGGATGGAGGAGGAGAAGGAGGAGGAGGGAGAGGAGGAAAAGGAGGAGGAGGGAGGAGGCCAGTGATGGGCAAGCTCCGTCGGAAGGTCAATCCCCCCCGCTTAATAGATATTCGGCGGCGGGCGATGGGGGGAAGTGAGAAGGAGAGGGCGTTCGCAGAAGGCGGCGGTACTTCTCAGAAGCCCTCGCACCTTCTTTGGGGCAGGCTTTAAACACTTCTCAGAAGGCTTGGGGACTTCTGAGCCTCTTCTCGCTTCCCCTTCTCGCCCGCTCGCCCGCCGGCCACAATACCCCACCCAGGGTTCGGTAGAGATGGGCCGCTCGAAGGGCGTTCTTGGCCGCTCCTCGGCTCGTTCAGGCCGTCGCCCGGTTCGTCTTCGATCGAATCTCCCTGGGGGCATATCTTTCTTACCTGCAGGGCAGTCTTGGGGGGCCTCTTCTTGGGCCATCTTGGGCGCTGTGAAAGCCAAAGAGGTATATATGCGAAGAATATACGTTTTCCAAAGGGAATGGAGCGAATGTTGCTTCTTGGGGCCCTCCTGGGGGCCTGGAGTCCTCTTGGGAGCCTCTTGGGGGCCTCTTTGGGGCCTCTTGGGGCCTCTGGGGCTTCAAGGGGTCCTCGTTGGGCCTCCTGGGAGCCTCTGGGGTCGAAAGCTCGGAATTTGAATCTGGTTTTGCACATTTGGGACCCCTCTGGGGCTCGTCCTGGGGCTCTTTTGGGCTGTTCTAGGGGCCTTTCGGGCCGTCTACCCTCTTTGGGTCGGAGCCCTGTTGGGAGCATGTGGGGCTGTATTGGGGGCCTCTTGGGCCGTCTTGAACGCTGTGAAAGCCAAAGGGGTGTGTGTATATATATATATATATATATATATATATACACACGCGAAAATGCGTGTTTCCCTAAGGGAATGGAGCGGATTGTGCCTCTTGGGGCCCTCCTGGGGTACCTCTGGGAGCGTCGCAGGAGGCTTCTGGGAGGCCTCTTGAGGTGTCTTGGGGGCCATCTTGTGCGTCTCGGAGCGGCCTGTGCGTCTTGGAGCGACATGTGGGCGTCGCGGGTCCCTCTTGGGGCGTCTTCGGGCTCTCTTGGCGCTTTCTGGTGGCGTTTTGTGGGCCTCTGGGGGCCCCCCACGGGCCTGCACACCCACATTTGTGGTAGAGGTCGTGGCCCCAGGGGCCCGGGCCCCGGTGCGCCGTTCGATGCATAAACTGCCGCGCACGACATTGCCTGGGGCGTTGCTCAAATCGCGCCATCGCGCACGTGCAACGGCGCAATTCTATAAACGCAGAAACGCGTCTATAAGGCACGCAAAAACCCTTTCAATAAAAAAGACGACGGTTTTAGACCTATGTGTAACGCTGGAAACCTCGCGATTCGCAATCGTCGCGGTGGGGGCGCGCCGACTAAGTGCGCAAGCGTTCCAGAAAAATTGTCAAAATCGGCTTGGTGGGTGTGGGGGTGGGTTGTTCTCTCCCTCGACACAAGATTCAGTTTGGAATCGCGCAGTCGCGATTCATGCAGGACGCACGCTTCAGCAACCCGCCTGCTCAACCTGGCCGCCTGGGCCCGCCTGGCCGCCTGGGCCCGCCTGGTTCTGCCGCGTGGTGTCTGCTCCTAGCCCCCTCCTGCTAGACGACCCCAAGAGGGTCCCAAGACGGCCCGAGAGGCTCCCAAGACAGCCCAAGAGGGCCCCATTCAAATTACGAGATTTCGGCCCCAGAGGCTCCCAGGAGGCCCCAAAAGGTCCGCAGGAGGCCCCACGAGGCCCCCAAGAGGCCCCAAGAGGCCCCCAAGAGACCCCCATAATGCTCCCAAGAGGCACCCAGGAGGCTCCCGGGAGGATCCCAAGAGGCTCCCAAACTGCCTCGAAGACGCCTTTGAGAGGCCAGATGCCTTTAAGCCCCCCCCCCTAGAGGGCCCACACTGGCCTTGTGGTGATGGTGAGAATGACGAAGGATAGGATGAAAGAACATTGTCGAGGGATATCATGACGATGATCATGATGATGGGAAGATGGCGGTGGCGATGATGACAGGAGGTGAAGTATCATTCAGATGGGTACGATAACGATGATTATGATGCTGATGATGATGCTGCTGGTGGTGATGATGGTGGTGGTGGTGATGATTGTGAGGAGGAGGAGGAGGAGGATGTGGATGAGGATGAGGATGCTCATGAAGAGGCGGAGGACGAGGGGGAAGAGATGGAGGAGGAAACGAGGATAAGTTATGATAAGGATGATGGTGATGACGATGAGGGTGATCTTAGGATGACGAGGATGAGGACTGGCTGCTGAGTGGGATGGCTAAGCTCATAAAGGTGGTGATGATGATGGTTATGACTGCCATGATAATTATGCTGATGCTGGTGGTGGCGAGGATGATGTTGAGGATGGTGACGAGGCTGAGGGTGTTGATGACGCTGGTGGCGATGATGATGATGATGATGAGGAGGAGGAGGAGGAGGAGGAGGTTGATGTTGATGTTGTTGATGACGATGACGATGAAGGGGAAGGCGGAGCAGAAGGAGCAGGGTGATCATAATGATGGTGACGATCACGATACTGATGATGCTGATGCTGGTGATGATTATGAGGGTGATGCTGGTGATGTTGCTGACGATGCTGATGATGCTGATGATAATGAGGATGAGGGTGGTAATGATGTTTATGATGATGACGATGATGATGACGATGTTGTTGTTGTTGTTGTTGTTGTTGTTTCTGTTGTTGTTGTTGTTGGTGTTGGTGTTGGTGTTGGTGTTGGTGTTGGTGTTGGTGTTGGTGTTGGTGTTGGTGTTGGTTGTTGTTGTTGTTGTTGTTGTTGTTGTTGTTGTTGTTGTTGTTGTTGTTGTTGTTATCGATGGTGATAGTGATGCTGGTGATGAGTATGATGATGCTGATTATGCTGACGCTGATACTGGTTCGGATGTCGCTGTTGCTGCTGCTGCTTCTTCTGTTGCTGCTGATGATGATGATTACGACGATGACGATGACGATGACGTTGACGATGCGGCGAGGTAGGATCAGGACAGCCGTCACACGTGTCATCTTCCGTCTTTTTTTCTCAAGGAGTTTCCTGGAAGCCCATTTGGGCGGTTTTTTGGCTGTTTGGGGCGTTCGTGAGGCAGTTGTGGGGGACTTTGGGGCCTTTTTTGGCCAGCCCTCTTCGGGCCCTCTTGCAATGGTTTGAGACCCTCTGGCGCCGTCCTGGGGCGCTCTTGACTGTTTGAGTTGGGGGGTCTCTTGCGGTCGTCGATGGGCCGTATTTGGGCTGTCGATAGGCTCTCCAAGGCCGTCCTGCGCTGTCTAGGGGATTTCTTGGGCTGCCTTGAGGCCGTCTTGGAGGATTCTTGGGCAATTTTGGGGCAGTCTTGGGGCCATAGTAGTGGATACCTTTAGGGCCGTCTGGAGCAGAAGGGAACCCGAACAGGTGAAGACGCTGAAGACTTTCGCACTCGCCTCTTCGGGCCTTACTAGGGGTTCTCTTGTGGCTCTCTTGGTACTTTTGGGGGGCGTCGTGGGCCGTTTCAGAGGTGCCGTTGGCCATCTTGGCGGTTGCCTGTCTTGGCCGTCTTGTGAGCTCGGGGGGGAGGAGGGAAGAAAATGAAGATTGCATGGAAAAGTGAAGAGCTGCCCCCCTGCAGGCCCGGGTGCAGTTGGCATAGAAAGGATGGGTGTCCCGTGGGTTCTAACACCATGTTGGGATTGGCGTTTGGACAGCGCGGGAAGATTCTTTGGCTTACGCCGCACCGCCAACCCCTTGGGGGAGAGTCGCTGTTGTGGCTTCTGGGTGCTGCGTGACTTAAGCGGCCTCGGAGGCCCTTCAGATCGCTCCAAGACGGCCCACGAGGCCCCGAAGAGGGCCCAAGACGGCCCAGGAGGCTCTCCAGATGACCCAAGTGTGCCCCAAGAGCGCCCCAAGAGGGTGCCCAGAGGGGGACCGCGAACTGATATTTCGAGGTCCCTGGCCCTAGGCCCCCAGTAGGCCCCCGGAGGCAACCAAGAGGCTCCCACGAAGCTCCGTGAGGCCCCCAAGAGGCCCTCAGGAAGCCCCAAGAGGCCCCAAGGGGCCCCCAGGGAACGCAAAAGAGGCCCCCCAACACACCCCAACACATCATGTTCCCAGAAAGCTTTCCAGGGACATGGTTCATCATGGGCCCGAAAGTCTCCGGAGGCTCCGAAGTACCATCACATCGCGCTACCGGAGAGTTGTCTGTGAAGTTGATTGGGAGCATGACTGGTCGCCTTCTCGCGGCCCTCCGCAGATCGTTTCGCGCAAAGTTGCCCTAAGTGCCCTCGTGAACCGACGATGACGAAGACGACGAAACGACGCAGACGAAGACGACGACGACGGCGCGCCCCAAGAGGCGACGACGACATTACGACGACGACGATGACAACGACGACGACGGCGTCGACGGCACGCCCCAACAGGCTCCCCAAGACGCCCCCCAAACCCATGTTCCCAGAAGGTCTTTTGGGAACCCGATTCATCAGGCCTCCGCCCCCATATGCAGCCATCTTCCCCGAAAGCCTTCCATAATGCGGATTGACACGCGTGGACTTCTCACTGTCCATAACTTCCCGCTCAAACAATCTGTGGTCCACTTACTTCAGTGGAGCAGTGAACCTGCGCGCGCGAAGCGCGCGCGATTGTTCTAGTACGTATATATATATAGAGAGAGACGTATATGTATATCTATGTGTATAGATCGCCCATCGATGTTCCCAGTAAGCACCCGCCCCCGCCCCTCCACGAGCCAGCACAAGCCCCAGCCTCCTAGGTGGGGATAAGGCCCCGCGAAAACCGAAGGAGCAAGCATGTATCCCCAACGAGCTTGTCGAGCGGGCTCGTGGGACCACGGCCGCGCCAGTGGGGTGGGAATCGCTTGAAGGATGTTAAAAGCTTCAACCGGGGGTCAGCCCGATGCCGCCCAGGCCCTCTACGAGATGCGCTTCGGTGTAGACCCCAAGGAGGACGAGGACGCGCGTGCTGGGGATCCAGCGCCCACCGTCTCTGGCGCCTTGTTCACGCCACTCGATGCTCCCAAGAACTCCAGGCAGCCTGCCAACGTCATCATTTTGCCATTGCTCCTGCTTCCCCTCCTCCTTATCTTCTGTCAAGTGTTCCTTCTTCCTCACTCACTCCTCCCTCCTGCTTTCCTGATTTTCAATCACTGTTTTTTCTAACTTCGCACTGCCTGGCGTGTCCGCAGGCTGGGCTGGGCGTCGTCACCTGGACTTCCGCGATCCTTACGCTCCCGAACATATCGGAAATCCAGATATCCACAAGTCACACAGATGGAGGGCAGGCGGTCTTCAAAATCCAGTTCTCGCTTTGTCGCCGCGCATCTTCATTGCAAACAATCCGACTATCTCCCAGGATGGATTCCGTGTTTTTTGTAAGTTAGTCTTGGCCTTAGTGCCGTGCACAGTTGCGGAAACATATCCCGATGGTTGAAGTCATGGTTTCCAGTCGTCTTGAACAAACAATCTGGCCCAAGCGCCGCTGCCATTCGTTGTTCCACGTTTTCAGCCCAAGGATGGACGGCCAGTGGTTTTCAACATGTTGATCGCGTCTTGGCGACACGAGCACTCTTTATGAACGCCTGCGTCAGTTGCGAGCACAGAGGCCCTTCGTTGTTTCAATGCGGCTATCGTTGAAGATCCATCTCGCTTTGCGTGGAGCACGTAAAGACTGGACGCTGGGTGTTTCGCCCTGCTTGTCTGCCGCGGGCCTCTTGGTGTTTTCATGGGGCCGTTTGGGGGCGTCTTGAGGGCTTCTGGATTCTTGGGGGCCTTGGGGGGCCTCTCGGGGGCCTCTTTGGAGCTTCTTGCGGCCTCCTGGAGGTCTCTTAGGCCGTCTTGTGGCACTTTTGCGTCGTTTGGCCCCTGCAGAGGCCGTCTTGGGGGCCTCTCAGGGCCGCCGTGTGGCTCTCTTAGGGTCCTCTTGGGCTGTCTTGGGGACCGCCTCGGATGTCACTCTCGGCCGTCTTTGGGCCCGCTTGGGCCGTCTTGGTACCCTCTTTGTGGCTTTGGAGCCGTCTTGCGGTCATCTTGGGGTCTGATTGGGCCGTCACGGGCCCCCGGGTAATCGAAAAATGGTGAGACCGCGAAAATGTATTCAAACCATGCAGGGAGTCCATATTCAAACCATGAGGTGCTCTCGGGTGTTCCTTGGAGCCCTTTGGGGCCGTGGTTGGGGGCCCATTGGCCATCTTGGAACCGTCCTGAATCGTTTGGAGGCCATGCTGAGCGGTCAGGAGGCCCTCTTGGGCCCCAAGATGCCCCAGAGGCCGATCGCATATAGAAATTCAGATACATATGTATATATATATATATATATGTGTGTATGTATATGCAGATAGACAAATGTATGTGTACATGTTTTCGATACGTTTTGGTCGAGCGACTCCTTTTAAGTCGTTCCGGCTTTCCCGGCGCTGGCGCCATTGCCAATGTCAAAACAGCGTTTCTTATACAGTGTTGATTTGTCGTCGCAGAAGTTTCAGGATTCCCCCAGGACGTTGAGGAAAAGGGGAAGGAAAAAGAACAGGAGGAGGACAAGGACGAGACGAGAAGGAATATGGGGAGGAGGAGGAGGCAGAAGAAAAGCAGGAGGAGGAGGAAGAGTAGGATTGAGTCGGGCATGCCCTTCCACAGAGGGAGTATTCAATTAGCCTTGCGAAGGACCCAACCATTTGCAGTTGTGAATACCGCAATTGTGAATACAATCTTCGCCCGCGCCCCCTATGTGGCCACGGCTTTCCGCCGGAGCCCGACATGCTCAGGAACACGTTCGTGGCCGTCTTCGCGGGCGCCGATGACGACAAGGACGGTGTCCTTTGGACCGAAGAGCAGAAGCAGGAGAGGACTTTGAGGGAGGAGGTGTCGGCGCACGTCGAGCGAGTACGACGCCCAGGCGCGGAGGTTGATGCAGCAAAACTATGGGGCCACGATCCTCGTGAGGGGTGTGCCGAAATGGCCCGGGGCCGCCATGGGAACCCTGCCGCTGGGGGCCTTCGGTGGGGCTCCTATGGGGCCACGATCCTCGTGAGGGGTGTGCGAAGCCGCCGTGCGAATCCTGCCACTGGGGGCCTTCGGTGGAGCTCCCTACGGGGCCACGATCCTTGAGAGGGGTGTGCCGAAAAGGCCCGAGGCCGCCATGCGAAACCTGCCACTGGCGCCTTCGGCGGCGCCCCCTACGTGGCCACGATCCTCGCGAGGGGTGTGCCGAAATGGCCCGAGGCCGCCGCGCGAACCTTGCCGCTGGCGCCTTCGGTGGAGCTGCCTAGGGGGCCACGATCCTCGTGCGGGGCGTGCCGACATGGCCCGAGGCCGCCATGGGAACCCTGCCAACTGGGACCTTCGGTGGAGCTCCCAATGGGGCCACGATCCTCGTGGGGGGTGCGCCGAAATGGCCCGGGGCCGCCATGCGCGCATTGCTACTGGTGCCGTCGGTGGAGATCCTATGGGACCACGATCCTCGGGAAGGGTGTGCCGAAATAGCCCGAGGCCGCCATGCGCACATTGCTACTGGGGGCCCTCGGTGGAGCTCGTATGGGGCCACGATCCTCGTGAGGGGTGTGCCGAAATGGCCCGAGGTCGCCGTGCGCACTTTGCTACTGGCGCTTTCGGTGGAGCTCCAATAGGCCACGATTCTCGAGATGGGGTGTGCCCGAATGGCCCGAGGCCGCCATGCGCACTTTGCTACTGGTGCCTTCGGTGGAGCTCCCATGGGGCCACGATCCTCGTGAGGGGTGCGCCGAGATGACCCGGGGCCGCCATGCGCACTTTGCTACTTGCGCCTTCGGTGGAACTCCTATGGGGCCACGATCCTCGCGAGGGGTGTGCCGAAATGGCCCGGGGCCGCCATGCGCACTTTGCTACTGGTGCCTTCGGTGGAGCTCCTATGGGGCCACGATCCTCGTGAGGGGTGTGCCGAAAAGGCCCGAGGCCGCCATGCGCTTTGCTACTGGCGCCTTCGGTGGAGCTCCTATGGGGCCACGATCCTCGTGAGAGGTGTGCCGAGATGGCCCGAGGCCGCCATGCGCACTTTGCTACTGGCGCTTTCGGTGGAGCTCCTATGGGGCCGCGATCCTCGTGAGGGGTGTGCCGACATGGCCCGAGGCAACCATGCGCACTTTGCTATTGGCGCCTCCGGTGGAGCACCCATGGCGCCATGATCCTCGTGAGGGTTATGATGATGACGATGATGCGAGGAGGAGGGGGAATGGGAGGAGGACGGAACGTGGGGCGCTGTTTCTTCAAAGCGAAGAAGCAACACCACAGGATGGTTGGGGAAAATAATAAAACAATACTCAGGGGATGTGTTTTTGGTCGTTTTGAGCATGTTTACGAGGAGGAGGAGAGGAGGAGGAGGAGGAGCAGGAGGAGGAGGACAGCGAGAAGGATGAGGAGGAGAAGGAGAAACTGTAGGAGGAGGAGGAGGAGGAGGAAGGACAGGAAGAGGAGGAGGAGAAGGAGGAGGACGAGGAAGCATGAACATGAGGAGGATGAGGAGGAGGACGTAAGGGAATGAAGAGGAGGAGAAAAAGGAGGAGGAGGAAGATGGGGAGGACGAGGGGGAGGTCCAGGAGGAGGAGGACGAGGAGGGGGAGGAGGAGAAAGAGCCGACGGAGGAGGAGCAGGATAACGAAGAGTTAGAATAGGAGGAAAGCAGGAAGGGGGGTGAAGCGGAGGAGAGCAGGAAGATGACGAAGAGCAGGAGTATGAGGAAGGGGCCGAGCAGGGTGCGGGAGGAAGGCCTCCGCCAACACGATAAAAAAAAAGAAAAAGAAAAAAAGAGAAACACCACACATAAAACAAACAAACAACAACAAAAAAAAAAAAAAAAAAAAAAAAAAAACGGCTGCGCGGGGGACGACGGTCTCTTAGCGTGAACAATGATCATCGTTCAATCCTTGTTCCTACTTCACTTTCGCTCTGAGCCCCTTTTTCCCCCTCCTTCCATCCTCGTCCGTCCTTGTTTGCTTCCCCCTTCATCATCCCTCCGTCATCCATCCCGTCCTCGCCATCCTCCGCGCTGTTCGCCGCGGTGAGGAGGAGGACGCGGGCGACGCGAGCGTGTACAAGGACCAGGACGGAACCAGGTGGATCGTCGCGGCCGGCCAGGGTCCCCTCGCAGGCCCCGCCGTCGGCCTGCCTAGCCCCTATCGCCGTCCTCGCCATCGAACGGGGATCGAGGAAACGCAAGCACATATGAAGGCGCGTGGATTGGCGACGGGTCCTGTTGGCGCGCTTCGTCGCCAGAGCTGGCGGCATTCGCCCTGGGGGTACTTTTCCCAGTTCCTCCGATCCGAAACCCACGCGCCAGATGCACGGATCCGTTACCGATGTCAGCGTGAGACCGAGAGTGGGGTGAGGGGGAGGAGGAGGAGGAGGAGGAGGAGGAGGAGGAGGAGGAGGAGGAGGAGGAGGAGGAGGAGGAGGAGGAGGAGGAGGGGGAGGAGGGGGAGGACAAAGAGGAGGACAAAGAGGAGGAGGAGGAGGAGGAGGAGGAGAAGGAGGAGGAGTGGCAAGCGTACGCGAGTCCACGTGGCACAGCCCAATGGCGCGGTGGTTTGGCTCCCGTTGGACCTCTTGGAACTCATCTGGGCGGCCCCAGGTTGGGCGGACCTTCAGCCGCTGAGCCCAGGGGGACGGGGGTTCGTGCTTCGATTGGTTGTCGTCACTGGGCGCGTGCTGGGGCCCACCTGGTCGCGAAGCAATGGGCGGGGGCATCGGCCAGCCCCCCACGGGCATGGGGACCACGTGCTCGGCGGCCGTTCACCGGCCCAGCGCATCTTCCTGTTTCTCCTCTCCTCCTCCGCCTTCCTTCTGCGCCACCTCCTCCTCCTCCGTCCCCTCTTCGCCTGCTCTGTTCTTCCCCCCGCCCTTTCTCTCGCCTCGTGCCTGCTTCTCGCCCCCTCTGCCTCCCCGCCCCCCACGGCCCTGGAGGCCTGGAGGAGAGGCTCGACGACCTGAAGTCTCTGTACAGGAAGAAGTATGGCGTCGACGTGGACGCGGACGACCTGGACGTAGATGTGGAGGAGCAGCCATGGAGCCGTCGTTCTTCCTCTCCATTTGCCACCGCACACCACCATCCCCAATCCCGACGCCCACCCCCGGCTTCGGAATTCCGAGAGCAATTTGGTTCGATTCCCGCGGATCGCGCGAGGATGGACCGACACGTATTCCAGTTCATCACTGTGCAGTCCGAAACGTGGTGGGGTCGAGCGCCGAGCAGCTACTCCACTTGCCTCCCTTGACCCGTTACCTCCTCTCGTCCTTCCACGGTCTTCGCCCGGTCATCTCTCCTCCTCCCCCCACGTCCTCGCTCTTTCCTTAATCCTCCTTCCTCGTTCCCCCCCTCTCCTCCTCCTCCACCTCCTCCTCCTCCTCCTCCTCGCCGATCCTTGATCTCCCCCCCCCCCTGCCTCAAGTCCTCCCCTCGCGCTGCCCCTCCCTGCGCCCCCCCCCTCCTCCTCCCCCGGTCGCCCCCCGCCCGCGCGCGGCGGGGCGGCCGGGGCCCCCCCGGGGGGCTGCCGCTCGCGGCCAGGACGCGGAAGAGCAGGGCCAGGTCGGGCTTCCGGGGGGGGCGCGCCGTTCCATGAGTCCCTGCGCGGCTGTGCCACGAGCGCCCCTCGTGCGCCTCTGCGCTTCCCCACCACCCACCAAACCACCCCAACCCAACCCGAAGGCTCAGATTTACCCTCGATTTCTAGTGGGGGGGGGTCCGGGACATCGAAAAAACACATATGGAGCCCATACCCCCCCTGACCCGAAATTCGGGTCTTCGGGTTGTGTTGGGGTGGTCTGGTAGGTATTCACTTCCGGGGCCCGAGAGGGGCCTCGCCTCCTCCCTGGCGCTGCTCGCGGGAGCACGGCGGCCGTGCGTCGAGAGTCCGTGTGGTAGACCTTCTTCCTCTCCCGGTGGCCCCGCTCCCCCCCCCCCCCCGCCCCTGTCGGCCACCGACGTTCGATCCATGCCCCCGCTGCTGCCCCCCTCCCCCCACTCGGCGCCAGGAGCAGCAGGGCGTGGACGAACAAGACATATCTTGGGAATGACTCAGCGCTTTGTAGGTGCGAGTAGCGCAGTTGTGATTCGCGTCCTCGGTGAAGCTTCTTACGGGGCGACAAAACGTGTGAGGTGTTTGCCGGCGTGGACATGCGGTCGGCGGGGAGCCGCATGTGAAGCCCTGCCACTGGGACCTTCAATTGAGATCCCCATGGGGCCACGAAGCGTGTGAGGGATGTGTCAACATGGACATGCGGTGGGCAGGGGGGCGCATGGGAACCCTGCCGCTGGGGCCTTCCGTGGAGCTACCCAATGGGCCACGACACGTGAAAAGGGTGTGCCAGAACAGAGACATGCGGAGGGCAGAGGCAGGGATGAGAGGAGGGGCTGAGGAGTGGCACGTAGGAGGCAGGGATGAGGAACGCGGCGCGGTCTCTACTCAAAACAAGGACCCGGCACCACAGGATGTTCGGGGAAAGCGGGGCTCCCGAGGCCAGAATGGCACGCGTTCCGCCGCCCTGTGCGGGCAATACTTACGTCCATATCCAGAGCTTCTTGGACTTTCTAGGAAGGGGTGCCGCGAGGCCGACGCGCACTGGATATGAATAAGAATCCAGCCTTTCGGGGCCAGATTCCCCAATCAGAGCTTGCCTCTATGGGGGTCCTAGCGGATTAGTAAGGTTAGGCGTGGTGCGCCGCGGATTTCCGCGGGCGCCCAGGTGCCCTGGTGCCTGGATGCCCGGGTGCCCGGGTGCCCAGGTGCCTGGTGCTTGGGTACAAAATAGCCCTATAGTTTTATAGCCTTATAATTATATAGCCCTATAGCCCTGTAGCCCTATAGCTCTGTAGCTCTATAGCCCTATACCCGTATAGCCCTATAGCCCTATATTTTCATAGGTTTATAGCCCTATAGCCCATAGCCCTATAGCCCTATAGCCGTTATCATTGTTATCCATATCCAGTGCGCCTCAGTTTTCTGGGGAAGACAGCCCCAAACTCCAAGACGCACCGGATGTGGACAGAACTACTGCCCGCACCCTGGTCCCTCGTGGAGTGGGGGCGCGGGCAGGGGCATGGGCAACCTGCCGATCGCCTGCCCTGCGCCCCAGGATGCCCCGAGCCGCTGTTGGCCGGCTCGGCCCGCCGCGGGCGTCCTCGAGGCGGTCGCAGCGGGGGCGGCAGGGCGGCGCGAGGACGGGCCCGCCTGCAGAACAAGGGCGGGGGGGGGGTAGTATGGCTGGGGATGCGCCGGGAGGGGGAGCGAGGGGTCGGGGAAGCGTAATCGACGACGCTGTACGTATCGAAGAAGAGGAAACGCCATACGCGTAAACGTTTGGCGCTCCCCGCGGGTTTCTTGGACTTGCGCCTGGGAGGGGGCGGCGCAGATCCGAGAAATCCGCGCGGAGCGCTAAATGTTGATGTTAATAGCGCTTCTTATTTTGCCAACGTAAGAGTGCTCTTTCGCCAGAGTGACCTTTGGTGCGGGCCCACCGCGATCGCCGAATGCGTCGGGATGGTTGTGTCTTGCGCGCTTGGGTTTGGCCCCTCCGCGGCTTCCCGAAAGCCGCGCACCAAAGATCACTCTTACCCAGGGTCACTCTTGCGTGTAGCCGACGTGCGACTCGAGTTCGCGGGGACTCGGGTTTGCCGGCGCTCTTTGACGGGCCCGTATTGTTTCAGATTTTGACGGTCCAGTTTTCGCGGGATGTTTACAGCGGGAGGTCGCCTCCAATTTCACATCGTGCCCCTCGGGTCCGCCCGAGTCCTTCCCCCGAGCCCGAACCTTTCTCGGGCTGGACGAAACAGGGGGATTGGGAAAGGGGGGGGTACGAAATTTGCTGCATGCAGCTTGTTTCGGCCTCACCGAGGGGCCCACTCCTCGATATATAGCCGCCTCCGGCGCCGGGAGGCGCCGTGAAAGTCAGCTACGCGCGCTGATTCTCAACCCCCCCTTTGCTATCCCCCCCTTTCGCCCGACCCGACTTTCGTCTTCCCGAGAGGGGGGAGGGTCGGGGA